TGGTTCTGTCAGAATCTTACCTTCAAGCAGGGGTAGTATTCCAGTGAATACTTGAAAGTGATAGAGATTGCTGTCAGCCCTTAAAAACCCACCTGTAAGTGGACCTGTGCAACTCAAACCCGTGTTGCTCAGGGTCATCTGTATTTTAAAGTCAGATCTAGGCTATTGGGGAGGGTTAAATGAGGCATGTAGAATGTTTGTAAGTTTAAGACTTGTTTAATAATAATAATAATAATAATAATAAAACCTTATTTAAGAATAGAAGGAGAACTCTGAAGTGTAGGACTCTCGGCATGGGCCTCCTCAGCTCAGGCCCGGCTGTGGTGAATCCTCATCTGGGCTAGAACTTTACTTGCTTGTAGTGGTCCTCTGCTGTTTAATCTTCTTGGGAGAAACCATCTTTCAGGATTGGCACAGAAGTCCAAGATTGCCTATGAAGCTTATCCAGGGTAATTGGGCTGGAGAGGGTCTGGCGAGCCTTCATTAAGGAGTACAGAGCATTCACTTCTTTGTTGCAGAGTAGAGGAGTTAAAAGAGGTGATCATTTCCATTATCTGAGGCTGTGTTACCTTAGCTTCTTTTAGATTGTAAGAAGAACATTGGTTTACTTTACTGTAGGGGTTTATTATAAAAAATGTGTCTCAGTTGGCCTTCGTGAAAATTCGACATTGTCGCAGTCACGAGAGTACTTTCCCTGTTATATCCTCTTTGTTCTCCAGTTCACTTGTTACCAACTATAGTGTTTTCACCATTTTGATAAGTCAGCTAATCCTTCCCTCTACTCTTCTTCCACTCTGTTTCTCTGGTGACTGTGACCTTTCTAATGCATTCTTAATTTCTCTTAGCATCATACTTCTTAAAGGAAGGTGGCACATTGGGTTGTCTAGTTGTTTATTATCCAGTTGTGTGAAGCTCTCATGAGTTACCTCAAAGGCCCCTTAGATGGCCTCTGGGTTGGAAGGTGATTCCTGGTCATAGTCATTTGTAACTAGAGTTTCAGTGTCTCATCATCTAAATTATAGTGATCTCACTGGAAGAACTGTTTGTGATCATTTATTTAGAAGGAACCTGTGGGGCCTTGGTAGATACTTGAAGCATCATTTTTACTCTTTCTCAGTGGTCATTGGGAGCTTTCGGATTGAAGGAGAAGTAGAAAGTGCCGCACATACATGGGATGTGTTTCTGGTTCCCAAAAGTAGCCCAGGTTAATCAATACAAAATAAAATTATCTTTACTTGTCCTGGTTCACTAACCTTTTGTAGAAGTCAGTGTTGTAGAAATTAATAGCAACTCAGGTATATGTATTATATTTCTGATTTTCATCCCTGTTAGTAAATTTTTATGGCTTTTGCTGTAATTAATGAAGTCTTACTAAATAAGAAAGGATCAAGATGTATACTGGGATTGTACACATGTCACTGAACCATTAAATAAGACTTAAAAAAGGGAAAGACTGGATTGTTGTGACATGCATCCCACTTAATATACAAGGAGTTAGCTACTCAAGAGTACATGTCTTTCTGCATGTTGTCCTTAGCTGGGATAATAAGCTAAGATCCAGAGACCTTAATGAGGGTTTTGTATGAAGGCCCTCTTTGGGGAATGCATATTTTCCTAAAGGCCGGGTGGCTGAAGAATGAGATTTTGTGGGTGGTCATTGTACCTTCTAGATCTTCTCCAAGAAAATAGGTAAGACATTAGAGACCATGATAAACTGGTTTTAATGTTTGTTGAAACATGTGGAGAGTCAGATGCTAGTTTTGAAAGGGATTACTGTGCAGTTGGCATGTCTTGATTTCATCAGTAGCTTCATTCAATTTAGCTTAATGAAAATTGTTATAATTTTTCTCAATTTACCAAAAACTAGTGAAAAAAAAAATTTTAAAGATTTTATTTATTTATTTATTTTAGAGAGTGAGTGCACATGAGCCAGTGCAAGGAGGTGCCGAGAGAGGGAGACAAGCAGACTCCCACTGAGTCCAGGGCTCTATCCCAGGACCCTGAGATCATGACCTGAGCTGAAATAAGAGTCAGACATTTAACTGACTGAGTCACCCAGGTGCCCCTAGTGAAAACTTTGTAATGGATGGGAATCACTGGGTTATATGGTTAATAGAGCGAGGTGGTCTCTTTGCTGGTTGATATCTATACCAGAGAATGTTGTGCCATCCTGAAGGAGAAGGTACCAGGCCATGAGTCTGGGCCATATCAAATCCACCAAGGGTGCCATTGCTGGGTTGGAAGCTTGGAGGAGAGGAGAGAATCTGCAGGATTCAGGAAAGACAAGGCCCAGGTGGGTCTGGATGAAAGACGTTGACAGGATTAAGAATGGCTCTGAGCAAGAAGGAAATTCTTAGAGCTTTAGCTCCAGGATGGTTATGCTCTAGAACTAAGTTCTCAGAACTCTTCCACTCAGTTCATTCCAGTGAGGTTAGACTAAGAAAGAAAGTTGTCAACTTGCTTTATCTAAGAGACTTTGTTTTGGAATATAGTATTTTTTTTTTATACTCTGTGGTTAGTGATTGTAGCCTACCTAGAAGGGGAAAATCTGAACTTGATTGGAGGGTTCTCTGCTATTTTAGAGTTGCATCGTCTCTGATTTTACTTTATTTTTTTTTTTTTCCTTCAGGTTGCTTGATTGGAGCCGTGAATCTCAAATCCAGCAACCGAACCCCAGTGGTACAGGAATTTGAAAGTAAGTACAAGGGAGACTACTGAGAGAATGGGCACCATCTAATGGACATTTGGTAGTCTTGCAGCCTACTCAGGACAAACACAACATATCCATACAGTGCCCAAGAGATGTTTGGGGGGGTGGCTCAGTAGCAGTGCATTTGATGTGCACATGTGTCAGTGAAGCCCTTTTCAGCAGGCCGACAGGGAACTCTGCAGGTTTTATATTGGCTAGAATCAGATTCCTGCCCTGGTTTTGTACATATATAACAAAGAACTTCCTTATTCCTTATATACAAGCAGAGTATTAAGGGAAAGGCTTTGCTAATCACCTTTAAAAATTTTTCTGGCTAAAATTCATCTTTTCTTAGAGTCATTTGGAACTTGAAGATAGATTTTTTAAATGTACATTCAAGAGTTCTTTCAAATTAGAGATAGCTTGCAGGGTCCAGATATACAAGTGATCATAAAATTGTTTCCAATTCTGTAATCTTCTTCTTCTTCTCCTTCTTCTTCTTTTTTTTTTTTTTGGCTCATTAGGTGTGGAATTATCTTGTATCATTACGGATTCACAGACAAGTGACCCCAGGATTGAGTGGAAGAAAATTCAAGATGACCAAACCACATATGTGTTTTTTGACAACAGAATTCAGGGTATGATCCTCTAATCCCCTCCTTTGTCCACAGGGCCCAGACATATACTTGTGCCCAGAGACTTTCCTCTGACTGGTCCTGCATCTGTATCCAGGATTGGTTTTTTTGTTTTGTTTTGTTTGTTTCACTTCTGAAAATTTCAAACATGGAGAAGTAATGAGAGTAGTATATTGAACCTCCCTGTCCCTGTTACTCAGCTTCAACAAGTATCACCTCATTAGTTATGATTTAAATCTATCTGTAGCCCATCCTATTGCACAATGAGAGTGAACGCTGTCCTAGGCCATCCTCTTATCATGGTCGCATTCATGATACCAGCTGCATGAGTTAATCAGAAGGATCACAGGGAACAGCAAGGAGATAAGACAGGTATTCACTGAGCACCTACTGCGTCTCAAGCTTCCTATATTGAGAAAGCATTTGCTAGAATAGACGTCAGCATAAGGTATCTCTGATCACATGAAGTAGGAGCAGGGCAGCTGGTGGGGGAAGCTTCCCAGAAGTGGCATCTAGGCTGAGCTGTGAAGCTGGTTATCCAGGCCAGATGGTGATGGGTGGGGTGGAAGAAGGTGTTGGGCAAGAAAGAATGCTCTGCATATAGACGTGGAAGCAAAAGGCAGGTTGGCTTAAGGAAACTGCAAGTTCTCTATCACAGGTGGGATTTAAGGAAGGGAGAGAGGAGTATCTCCACACAGCTGGTGAGGCATGCCAGGGCCAGGCAGGAAGCACTGAATGCCATGCAAGAATGGACAGCATCTTGAGTTCCGTAAAGACTTTTTTTAGAGGGAAGGGAGATGACTTCATTTTCACTTTAGAAAGACTTGACTCGGCTACTTTGTAGAGGAGATTGGGAATGGGGAAAACTCAGAGCAGGGGTGCTAATTTAGATTGTTTTGCAGATGCCAGAAAGGAGCTGCTGATGGCCTGAGCTAAGGTGGAGGCATTGTAGAGAGCGATGGGGAGGGATTGCTAGGAGCTGGCTGTGGCGAGGGAGGGAGGGAGAGAAATTATAGATGACATGCAGTGGTACCTTACCTTCATTCTGACAGGAGGGATGGGATGAACATGAGGGACAAATGCAATAGCTTCTAAGGGCTGGCTTTGGAGTTCTCAGAGAAATTGATAGTTGAGGCTTCAGAGAAGAGGAGAGATGTCGAAACAGCTAAATCTCAGTCTTCCTGCTTTGGGTCCCCAATATCATCAGGCTCTTAAAAATCTTTTGGGGACACCTGGGTGGCTCAATCAGTTAAGCATCTGCCTTCAACTCAGGTCTGATCCCAGGGTCCTGGGATTGACCACTGCTGCTCAGTAGGGAGTCTGCTTTTCCTTCTCCCTCCCCACTCCCCCTGCTTGCACTCTCTCTCTCACACACACACACACACACACACACAAATCTTTTTAAATATTTTGTTGTTTTTCTTCCTTTGCCACTATATCCCCCACCTTTTAATTTTGAAGAGATGGAAATTTTTTTTCCAGAAAACAAGTCCGGGTTCTCTGGCAATTTAGGCTGCTGCTGATAAAGCCCGTACGTGCACTTGTGATCATCAGAGAAACTAGGTGGGATTTTTTTTTTTTTTTTAGGTGAGAATTTTCATGAAGAACTTCCTGTTTGTAGGCACCTGGGTAGCTTGGTTGGTTAAATGACTACCTTTGGCTCAGATCATGATCTGGGAATCCCAGGATCAAGTCCCACATTGGGCTCCCTGTTTAGTGGAGAGTCTCCTTCTCTCTGCCCCTCCCCCCTCATTCTCTCTCTCTCTCGCTCTCTCATTCTCTTTCTCTCTCAAATAAATAGGATCTTAAAAAAAGATTCTCTTTCTGGGATTTAAACACCTTACTCTTAGCCAGAGGGATGAGGAGGATATTTATACACAGAATATGAAGGCTGCAGGAAAATTTGAATCTTGCTTGGCCTCATCTCTTGCCTCAATTCAGGACTGTGCCAAAAACATCCTGATATATTTTTTTTATGCCTTTTTTTTTAAATTTTATTTTTTATAAACATATTTTTTTTCCCCAGGGGTACAGGTCTGTGAATCGCCAGGTTTACACACTTCACAGCACTCACCATAGCACATACCCTCCCCAGTGTCCACAACCCCACCCCCCCCAACCCCCCC